TGTCCATCCATCCATCTGTCCGTCCACTGTCCATCCATCTGTCCGTCCATCCGTTTGTCCATCCATCCATCTGTCTATCTGTCCGTCCATCCATCTGTCTGTCCATCCGTCTGTCCATCCACCATCCATCTGTCCGTCCATCCGTCTGTCCATCCATCTGTCCATCCATCCATCTGTCCGTCCACTGTCCATCCATCTGTCCGTCTGTCCGTCCATCCGTCTGTCCATCCATCTGTCTATCCATCCATCTGTCAGTCCATCCATCTGTCCATCCATCCATCTGTCTATCCATCCATCTGTCTGTCCATCCGTCTGTCCATCCATCCATCTGTCCATCCACCATCCATCTGTCCGTCCATCCATCTGTCCATCCACCATCCATCTGTCCATCCATCCATCTGTCCATCCATCCATCTGTCCATCATCATCTGCTTATTCCAAAGTTGGGTCACGGGGGCAGCAGCTTGAGCAGGGAGGCTCAGACATCTCTTTCCACAGCCACCTCTACCACCCTGCTCTGGGCCCATGAGCAAGGCCCTTAACCCCCCCCCCCCCCCCATTTGCTCCCCCGGGCGCCCCAGACGGCAGCTCCCTGATCCACACAGGCTGTGGTAGCTCAGTGTCAGTGGTTGTTTCAAGAAGGACATTCGGCATAAAAATAATCACTGTGCCGACCCTGAAGAAGGAGCAGCTGAAAGAAGAAAAATAAAATGAATCATGACTTTCTGTAAAACAGCTGTAAAGGACCAAAACACCTGAATTCATTCAACCTTTATTTCTACAGCTTAGTGTCATTGAACCTCGAGGACTCATTTACAACAGAGACCTGATTTAAATAAAGTGATGACAACAGAGGACAATCATAAAACATATCAACTGAAAAAATAAATAGAAGAAAATTATATTAAAAACATCTAGGTTGTAAAGTGATGTAAAAAACTAACAGATCAATGAGAGTGCTTCATGTTTTTTATTTAGAGTATTTTCTCATTAATTCCTTGTTTCTTTATTCCGTTTTGTTTTTCTTTACATTTAGTTTTTCTGTTTGTAGATCATGTTTTGAAGAACACCTTTAGACAAAATGTTCTCCACTTACAGTTTGTAGCAGACGTTGACCGCTAGGTGGCAGTCTGGTACCATGACAAACATGCAGAGTTTACTTCATCCATCCATCATCCATCCATCATCCATCCATCATCCAACCATCATCCATTATCTTGACCTGCTTCTTCCTTTTGAGAAGAAAAGATGGGGGTCTCAAAAGATGTGTCCCCCATCAGTCACACTCTCATATCTCAATTTAAAGTTGCCAGTTAACCTATTGGTCTTGTTTTTTGGTCTGTGGGAGGAAACTGGAGAACAACCACACGTGCACAGATGCGAACCATCCAGAAAGGTACTGGGTCGGGGTTCGATCCAGAAACCTTGTTGCTGAGAGGCGGCAGCTCCAACTGCACCACTGTGCCACACGCTGCAGAGTCTGTGTTAATAAAATAATGTGTTGAAAGAAGTGAAGGTTTTTATTTTAGTTTGTGTTTCTAAATATTTGTCAAAACCTTGATGGAAACTTTAGTTTCTGTTTTACTCTGGATGTAATGAAACGCTGAACACTAGTAGAAGCATGTGCAGCGATGTGAGGACGAACAGTGATGTGAGGACAAACAGCGATGTGAGGACAAACAGCGATGTGAGGACCAACAGTGATGTGAGGACAAACAGTGATGTGAGGACCAGCAGTGATGTGAGGACCAGCAGTGATGTGAGGACAAACAGTTATGTGAGGACCAACAGTGATGTGAGGACAAACAGTTATGTGAGGACCAACAGTGATGTGAGGACCAGCAGTGATGTGAGGACAAACAGCGATGTGAGGACA